TGTCATATAGTAATATGTGAATTGCTGTCTCTCCTATAACTACCATAAATGCATATAAATGTTTTTGTCCATTTTTCACATAAAACTACCAAACGACATAGGTATACGACATAATTTATGTACAACAGAAATTGACCCACACACTGTACGCGCAGCTACCTAGAGTGAGTATGTAATATGTATATTCATAAAATAATTAAAAAGCCATAATATTTCTCAATTTTACTAATCATCTTAAAAATATTAATATTAAGGTTTAATTTGAGGGAACCCTGAGGTGAATCCCCTTCTCCAGAGAATACCATCTTATTCGGTCTTTAGCTATTTCTAGCCATCGCGCGACATAAAGAATATCATCATTCCATTGTGTGTGTGTGTGTGAATACTAACCACATTTAAATAGAATATGACCAGTTAATGATGGCCAATGTTTTTTTGGGGGCTCTCTCTGTGCTATCAAATTTAAATCAATTTCCATATATAAATCCTTAAAATCTGGATAGCGAAAAATCACGTAGTCATCCTTTAGATATTCCCGTATCCATTCCTTTGGTACACATTTGATCTTTACTTTAAATTTATCCGGAGAGTCCAGTTTGATTACATAATAATTGTAGCTTTTTGCATTAGTCATTTTTACACTGCAAAAACAATTATAAGTTAATATATACTTATTTTATCTGTAATCTATGATGAAATGATTGAAAATGGGTAGTCAGGGGTCTCTCGTCTGTTCTATACTTGGGAATGAGCAAGGGGACTGATTAACAGACATCCTTAAATATTTTGTGTTGACTTTCCAAATTCTTAGGGGGAAGTCCCGTAACGTTATAATTAATAGGAACATTCAAAATCATTACTAAAATGGTATAAAAGAAACCAGATAAAAATTTCAAAGTAAAGGACCAGTCGACAAAATGCAGGAAAAACATGATAAAAAACTTATACTAAAGACATTTGTGTTTATTCCAAAGCACTTGGTAAGTCACTGTTTTTATACATAGGTAAATAAAAATTAAAGTAAATTGCAACCAGAGATTTTTTAAACCTTAAAAATTAGTTAATTTGTGTTTTTTCTATGAATTGAATATGATATTTCATTACATTTTATGGAATTTGGCAAATTATGTTAGTATTTATATAATTATATCCAGGATCATCCTAATGTACTTAATATAACAATACTTGGTTAATTTAATGAATAGGTACTTCATTTATTTTAAGATGCACAAACATGGTGAGTGAGCCTTTGGTTGCAGGTCACTTCAAACTGGCCTATCTGGAAATTACTGGGGGAGGCCTATATTCAGCAGTCGACATCTTATGACTGATATGATGATGATAATGATGATATGAACTATCACAGAAAAAATAGGCACAAATTCTATTGCTAATTCATGTTAGAGTGTTGAGTTCTTGGTTTTAAATTAATTTATTTATGAAACAGTTACAGGTTATAGGATATTATGTACCTATTTACAATAGTGTTAATAACAGTAAAATACATTGAAAAATATTTACCTTCGTTCCATTGTCGGATGTTTTACTGTTGTGTTCAACTACGTTGTGTGTAAAACACAAACACAAACACGAAATAAACTGTAGAGTTTACTGTCACTTACCAATGAGGTCTTAAGTTTATTTATAAGGTATTTTAGCTACTTCAGAACAAGATATTCGTACAAGTAAAAAGGATATTTCCTCACAATCAGAATACAACAAAATGTCAAAAAGCCACACTGTCTGTCGAATTGTCAAAACTGCGTCTGCCAAAGAAATCGTGTGTTGCCAGCGTAATATTTTGCTCATTTTATAAGTTAATTAGTTAATCTTCAATATCCTTAATTAACAAAGTAATAACTAAGTACACTAAGCGTTGTGAATTATAAATTTCTGTTTAACAACCTAGAAGTCCTACAACCACTACTTCTTTTTTTGCAAGAAATGCAATATTTTTTTTTTATAAACTAGCAATACTTACTTTCTATAAATATAATTCTTGGATTTGACCATAGTGTTATCATGATTTACGTTCTAGAGTTACTACAGTTATTACAGTTTTAGACCAAGGTAGCCCGCGAATTTTAAATTTTCTTTTTTTTGCAATTCCTAGATCAATATCGGATAGGATGACGATAAAATTTAAAATTGCGATAGTGAAATATATGCGTTTAAACAACAATATTTATGAAAGCCATCAAAACATCTTCGCAATACAGTGAAAGTACATACTACATACTTCATCGACTTCGACGACAGCCGATTAAGTACTTACTGCTGAGCAAAGCCTCTTCTCACGCTGAGTAGGTTTGAGTATTAATAACACTTGCTTATTGCGGGCTGGCGATTTCAAACTTAGAATTAGAAATTATAAATCCTGGATTTCCCACTATGTTTTCCTTCATCGTTTGTCACTTTTAATTATCAGTGGTATCCAAATAATCTTCGAAAGTGCGTAACTCAAAAAATTCACATTGGTGCTTGCCCTTGGTAGGTTTCGAACTCGCACCCTCATGCATGAGAAGCGGGCGTCTTAACCTCCGGGCCACCACGTTCACAGAGAAGGTCTACAGTTATTTAAAACAATTTAGATCTTTTCTAAATTACCGAATTATGTGGTGATGGTGTCAACCATTTCAACATTAAGTACTTATTAATCGTGTTGTGGATTCAATGTTCGTACGGAACAATTTCTTGTATGATTTACAAAGTGGTGTTAGCCTGGGTGTAACTGTATTATGAAATTGTATGTTTGTAAACGCACCCACGACTCCGAAACCGGATGAAAATCCTCGAGTTTGCGACTCGAAAAACATTGGTACTAATAGAAAAACAATTAACCGACGGACGAAACCGCGACTAACAAAATTTCGCCTTACTCACGTAATAATTTGACGAGGAACTCGACTAGTTTCAAGCCATGCTAGAGGCTCATATTCATGAGTAGCATTTCGCGAATCACGACGCGGCGACTATCGCGCTGCTACTGAGTAGCAGTGCAAATTATTACGTGAGTAAGCCGAAAACATAATAATTTATTTAGTATGTCTCTCGAAAGTTACAATACAAACAAAATTGCATACTCATTGTTACGATTTAATTACAACAAACAATTCTTGAATAAAATTTTTGGAGTCAAGAGACTTGACGTTGGAGATACGACACTACAGTCTCAACAAGTCTTTACTTTCAGCGTTTAAGCTGTTATTTAAGTACTAAACATTAAGTCTCGCAAGAAGCCCTCATTTCGTCACGTAGAAACCAACTCCATACTTTACAAAACTTTTAAGTGTTGCCATTTTATTATTATTAAATTAACTATTTAGATATTTACCACATGGAAAGTGTTATCTGACAGACTGACAATATCTATTTGATTTTAGCGTTAACTATAAGCGGTATTTTTTTTATATTTGTTGGGTCGATGTTAGACCAATATCTCGCCTAATGGTAAGCGATGATGCGGTCTACGTTGGAGCACGTCGACCCTTAAGCAACCTATTCACTTGGAGCTTGAAGACAAGAAATACAGACTCTGGCAAACAATTTGGGCTTAACGAATAGGGTAGGTAGATATTTTTACCGACTTCAAAAAAGGAGGAGGTATTATGTTCGGCTGATTGTTTTTTTTTTGTTCGCGCAGTACTCCGCCATTTGTGAACCGATTTCCAAAATTCTTGTTTTGTTTAAAAGGGTATACTCCCGAGATGGTCCAATTTCCATGAAGGGTCAGGATCAGATGATGGGATCCTAGGGAAACCGAGAGGAACTTTCGAAAATTCTATGGGCGAGTAATGCGTCTATTATGTTTTTCAATTACGATTTTTAAACACGAGTCGACCTGATGATGGAGCCGACAGACAGTCGAGGGAACTCCTCAGCGGTTTATATTAACTACCTTGTGTTTAGGCTTGATTAATTTGTATTGATGAGGACTTTACACCTAGATAAAGTGGGGCTGTCATTAAGGGTCTGATGATGAAGAAGTGTAATTGTTAAGGGAACTCCTCTACGGTATACTGTAACTACCTTGTGTTTGGGCTTGTATAATGTGTATTGATTAGAACTTTGCACCTATGTACATTATAAGTAACAAAACGGATCTATGTAGGTTTACACTGAAAATGATAAAATAATAGAATAAAAACTGCGTTTAAAAACCGACTTCAAAAAACCAAAAACTAATATGGTTCCGACTTCTTACCTATCAGTGGGTGGGTAACCTATCAGTACTAATAATAGTTATTTTTTGCTTTTTAGTTTTGACTTTTTGTTTGTTATTAGTTTTTGGTTTTTTGAAGTCGGTTTTTATGAATTAGATGATATTTTTTTATCAACAGGCAATCGACTCCACGCACCACCAGTTGATACCTGAAAGACAAGAGGAGTCACTAGTGCGTTTTAGTGACTGCGGCTTCAGATATGGGAAAAGCGGAAAAGCCTATTTTATTGTCTAATCAAATTGAACCGATTCCCGAAGCGCAAGTCTCAAAAACTACACCATTAATAATTTAATGCAATTTAAACTATAACCTGATTGTTATAAAGTAGATATTTACTTAATTGAGTAAATATTTTTAAATAATCTTAGTTATAGCCCTAACTCTATTACATAATAACTAACTGTAAGTACTCTTTATTGAAGAAATGTATGCTGTAACTGTCTTTTTAATCCTTATGAGTGTTGAAATAAGGTGATTTTTTTATTTGAATATTCTGTTCTATTACATGAATGTTTGACATGTCTCCTGCAGTAATTCACCGAGGGAAGAGAAAACCATAGTTTTTTTCTTCATCTCCTCTTATAATATCTTCTGATTCACTTCGTTGCGGGAACCAAGACAGTTACTCATGTCCCTGGGACGCGCCGGACTTCAGTGTTCTAGTGTTTTCGTGGTTGTATCTACTGTTGATCCTGGCTTACAGGAGTTGCAGCGGTTTTGGGAGGTTGTGGAGGGCTTGTACCATTAAAAAAAAAAATGCCGCAAGCCAACTTCGCTTTGTGTAATCGTTGTATTGTTGTAAACTTTACTGTGTTGCTATAACAGGATTGAGTCACTGGTCGAGTGGTCGCAAGCACGTCTGCCGAGCAGCGGGTATCAGGCTAGATTCCTGAAAATGGCAAAAAATTATTAAGGAATTTATCGGTCATCGAAAATTTTTCAGTTGTAACAGGGATTCTGAATTGTATTCCCTATAATATGGGATTTATAAACATAAGTGATCAAAAAAGTAAGTATATTACAATTTCTATACAAATTATGGGCAATCTACTTACCCTTACGGGTATTAAAAGGGGTAACAAGAAGTTTATAATAATATTTTTGTTTAATACATTGGACCTAGGCGATAAAAGTAGGTTTTACTAAGAAAAGTCAGTCATGAAATTTTATAACTAGATATTCTATTATTATGATGTTGACAGTATATGGTACAAAGAGCTCCTGATTGTGCTCCTGAATTGAAGGCAACATGCCAACAGCTGCCCGGGTCAGACAAGTATCCTTGAGTTATTTAGGTTTTTTACAAATTCTACAATCACAAAGTCCAAAGTTAAACGATGAATAAAGCAAGCCTTTAGTAAAACGGTGTGCAAAATTCATATTTTAACATGGTTTTCAAGTAGGTAATTTCTAGGTAAAAAAATATAATTATGAATAATTTCTTTTTCTTGAGAGAAAACCTTAAAACATTAAGAAACTCTTTATTTGGTTATTACAGGAAATCTTTAGTCACGGACTTGTCACCTTTCTCGGTATTTGACAGGGTTGCCAGGTACGAAAATTAAACGATTATTTTATTATTATTTATTATATTTTCAGAAAATTTAATTGATTTTATGTCTGTTATCTAATCCACACGCTTTTCGATTTTATTATTTTTGAGACTAAGTAGTAAATTTCGATAAACTAAACAATCATTCTTTGGCCGACTCAATAATCAAACTTCAAACTACGTACTTCTTAAAACATGTCTGAATCTGTGTTTTACCAGTTACCTATTCTCAAGGAAATAACCACTGAACAATTATCACAGTAGGTACATACTTATATTTGACTGCACAGTTTTTGATATGGCCGAGCAACCGGCAATGCGCAAAGTGTATCTTTCGATTACCGCACGGCACAACTGTTTGTGTAATTCACAAAATATTGTTTCAGGTCCGAGTGTGATTTGTATGTACATACATGTGTAAATCCAAGATGTTTTTTCATGGCATAGGTAAGCTGGTAAACCAGCAGACGGATCACCTGATGGTAAGCAATCGGCGCCGCCCATGGACACCTAAAACACCAAAGCGTTACAAATGCGTTACCGGCCTTTTAGGACCGGACCGGGGATTAGGGAGGGAGGTGATTGGGCCTCCGGTAACCTCACTCACACGACGGAACACAACGCAAGCGTTGTTTCTGTTTTTTGTAAGGGTGTGGTATCACTCCGGTCGAACCGGCCCATACGTGCCGAAACATGGCTCTCCCACACTTTATGGACAATATGTATAAAGAAAAAAGAACAACCCTATTTAAATACAATAATAACAACAACATTTTTCTTAGAATTGTGCTCAAATAAAATGCTATTATATCCTTCGTCACCTTTACACGAAATAAGAGAACAAGCTTTTGTTCAACGCAGAAACAAAAGAATAAATGGTACCTACCTACCTATGTCCATTGTTCATAGTTATTCTTTAATGAGAATTTTGAACTCTAAAATTATGAGGTTTA